AGAGAGAACACAGATAAGACAGGGAAAGAAGTACTCAAAGAAATCATCTGTAGGGGCTGGAGGGATGGTTCAGCAGCTAAGAATGCTTGCTGCTCTGATGGAGGATCAGGATTCAATTCCCAACACCTGTATGGTGGTTCACAACCAACTGTAATTCCAGTTTGAGAGGACCAGAAATGTACATGGTGCACATACATACATTCAGGAAAAACATTTACACACATACAATACATTTTAAAAAAAATAAATTATTACTTATATATCTGAAATTTGATAGGAAATATAAATGTGAGGAATCTGAAAACCTCCAGACAAGACAAATATAAAAAATATAAGCATAAACATATAATTAAATTCTGATAATTAAAGACAAAAATATTGCAAACAACTCACAAACCCAAAACTACCTACACAGAAAAATTAATCCAAATACTAACAAATCCCTCATTTTAACCATGAAAGGGAAGGGGAATATTTTTCTAGCCCTGGAGAAAAAAATAATTGTTAAACCTCTATTTGGGCATCACATTTTGTATAAAATATTACTTCAAATATTTTACAGACTTAGACACACATTGTAAAATTATAAAACATTTTTTAAAAATAAAAAAAAATCCAGATCTGGAATAAGGCAATAGATTTTCTAGAATTTGCAATAAATTTACCCTATATGGGATAAACACTGAATAAATTAGAGATCACCAAAGGTAAAGTAAGTGCTATTGGAAAACAATGTTATGATGGTAGAAAGACAAGGTAGACTGAGAGAAAAAACTGCAAATCCTGTACCTGACAAAAGACTAACATCCAGACTTCTTAAAGCCAGACTTAGTGGTCCATTCCTTCAGTTCCAACTACTCTGAAGGATGAAGGAGAAAGATCTAGAACTCAAGACGAGCCTGAACTACATATAAGATGCCTCAATGCTGAAACAAACAGAAGAATTCTCAAAACTGAACAATGAGAAGAGAGACAACATAATCTGATAATGGACAAACAATATCCTAAAGAAGAAAATACGCAAATGGCAAATGGGTACATGTAAAGATGTTCAAAATCATTAGTTATCCAAGAAATACAAATCAAAACCACATCGAATTTTAAATACACACACACACACACACACACACACACACACACACACACACACACACAGGCACAAAATCATCGCACACCTATCAGAATGGCTCAAATTAAAAAAAAAACAATGATGTCAACCCTTGAAAGAAAGTCAATCAATTAGATTACCAGTGGGAATGTACATGGTACAGAATTTTGGGAAAGAGTTTTGTGTTTTCTTTTAAAACCAACCATGCGACGACTATACAACAATTACACGCCTGGGAATTTTTTTCCCAGACAAATGACCATCTATGTGTTTATCAACATGTATGTTTATATGTGTTCTCTGGAATACTATTCAGCTATAAAGACGAATGAGCTATTGATAGATTGCAAAAATCTGATGAGCCCATTTCTAGGAATCCATTTAAAAATGTCAATTCCGGGCCGGGCGGTGGTGGCGCACGCCTTTAATCCCAGCACTCGGGAGGCAGAGCCAGGCGGATCTCTGTGAGTTCGAGGCCAGCCTGGTCTACCAAGCGAGTCCCAGGAAAGGCGCAAAGCTACACAGAGAAACCCTGTCTCGAAAAACGAAAAAAAAAAAAATGTCAATTCCAAAAGATTACATACTGTATGATTCTATGGACATAATGGGCTTGAAATGACAAAGTTCTGGTAGTGCTGAGTGAGGTAGTGTATGTCAGGTCTGCCACTGTTCTCTATGTACTGACTGGCTCTAATAATAAGTCTCTGAGCTTGAATTGTTCTATCTGGAGTATACAATTAGTAGTGTAGTTCACAAGCTACCTTATATGTAGTATGTGTGTGTGTGTGTGTGTGTGTGTGTGTGTATATATATATCATATATCGAGAACCTATTTCCTCAAAAGCCTAAAAGCACAAGATTTTATTACAAGTTCTGCTTACTTGGCTCAAAATTTTCCAGCTCCATAATCTTGTTTTTGTAATAAAACAGTGCAGGGTTGGGGGTAGAAGTTGTAGAGAAGGGGATGGGGTGGATTTGATCAGAATATATTGTGGATATGTATAAAATTCTCAAATAACAAAAAAAATAAAACCCTTCAATTCTGATAAATCAAGGCACTTATAAGTACTGATAAGTCATACTACTTACATACAAAAGAGGTACATAAGCAGTATGAAGCATGTTTTCATGGAAAATGTTACTTAGGTTCTTCTTACATCATTGTTTTATAATATTTTAGTCCAAACTGAGTAATTCACCAACACTACTTAGCAAACTACAGTCTTTATAAGTTCTCCAGTTTCATGATCCAGCCCAGGATCTCAGATTGCAGTCAGCTGTCTCTTGAGTGTCCTCTATCCTGAAAGAGTTTCTAGGCCCTTCCTGGTCTTTTATAGCTTTGACACATCTGAAGGAAAGATGATGCTTCGTTATTTTGATGACATCCCTTTTCTTCCCCAAAGTTGCTTTTCTTTTAAGTCAATATCGCACCATTAGTTTTCACTTGCCAGCTGTACCACAGTAAAATTAATCAAGTTATGCATACATTTATAACAGGCAAGGTGAAATACTGATACAATTGTCCACCGTGAAATGATTACCACCAGAAGCAAATTCACAAAGCCGATGTCTCAGGTACCACCAATGTGTATGGAGGTGGTGAGAACACTTGAGGTTCATTCTCTTAACAAAACTCAAGTGTGTAACACATTGTTATCCATTCATTATCATTTCAAAGCATGCGACACATCAGGTTTCTAGCCCTTATTCATCCTACATAAGCTTGTCTTGTCAGCACATAATTCTAAAAGCAACACTAGGTGCTGATTTTTTCTTATAGGAGGAGATGGGATTCCGTTTTGGCTCCGATGTAGCAAATGGGAGACAGACTAAATGTTCCAATTGTTTCAAAGACTAGAAGAAGAAGGAAAAGGAAGAGGAAGAACAAAAAAGATGAGGAAGAAGAGGAACAAGGAAGAGGGCTGGGGACAGGGAGGATCAATGAGGAGGAGCAGGAACATTAAGTAACTCTTCTCCTTCCCCTCACACAATAGAAACGGGTTAGATTAGGACCATGAAAGTCAAAATGAAGCCTCCACACTTTCTTGATTCCACATATTATGTGGTTACTGTTAACACATGTGTTTCAAATCACCTCTGTCTTAAAAACAGTGCAAATGTAGGTGCTAAGAGAATTGAACCTGCCAAACATATCTGACATCACAACACCCTTGGAAGATCTATCCGTGAAAGCCAGATATATATGTACATCACAGCAGTTTTATTTTATTAAACTCACAACATTTCCATTCCATTTAAACTCACCATGATAGCACACGTTGTTTGGGTGGTGGTTTCCCTTCCAACTGGCACTCAGAATACTGCATTAAGCCAGATCCACAATCAAATGCCAAGCCCGTGATTAGCTCTCCGTTCCACTTGGGTCTCTTGTTTTTTTAAGTGGCTATGCAATGTTGGATACAACCATCTGTGGGTGGCCTAAGGATAGAATCTGGACGTGACAATGGCTATGAAAGGCATTATAATTATGACTCTCATTGCTTTAGGTGTACTATGATTTTGCAGCTAAGGGCAGTATGTCTATAATCAGGTTGCATTAATGGCCCCTAGATAAGTGTAGCTTACAGATGTGTTTTATTTGGCTAACTCAATGTTAGAAAAGCATCTGAATTTGCAGCTAATCTTTACATATTAAGAGATTCTACATGAAAATATGGATTTCTGGCTTCAGATGAAAATTTTGATGTGGCCACAGTCGGGCCTACTTTTCCACATGGCAACAATTGGCCGGGGCTATAGAGCAGCTGGCTTTTTGAGACAGGCTCAGTACCATCTGGTTAGCATCTCCATCCAGCTCACTTCTCCCATTTATGTAACTTGCCTCCTTCCTGTGGGTGTTTAGATTTTCAACACTGGCTTTTTACAGCAGAACTTTAGATTTTCTAAGCTTCTGATTTGGCCAAAGTGAAGAAATCTATAATGAGAAAAGATGATGACCATTGTCTTAATCTGGCTTCTTCAAAAGTGGACCTTGTAATGAAGATTCAAGTCTAAGTGATTTATTTAGGAGTTGAACCCAGGTAATATTAGCAGAGAAACAGAGAATTGGATCGGGAAGAGATGGAAACCAACCAAGAATGTATCGTGAAGTAAATCAGCACCATAGTCAACTAAAGCTTAATCCTTCTAGAGAATTCTGAGAGGAACATAAAGTATGACCCAACAGAGGGACAAGAGAGTGGGGAAATGTATGCCTGTTCCCACAAGTTATCAGTTGATGGCTCTTATGAGTAGCAGACCCCAGTGTTTCCAGTCAGCCATGCTGAGGCAGATGGTAAAAACTGGGAATTAGTGCCAAGACTCAGTGGGATACATACATGGTATCCACAGTATCAGCTACATCAAGCTTCCAAGGTCATCACAAAATGCTGGGTACAGTGATAGTTGTTGTCTCCGAATATGCAGGTGACAGTTGATGTTTGCTGACAGGCATTGCAAAATTTCTCTCTCTTATGAGAACTTCTTATTCTCTGAACAAACACAAAACATACTCAAATTGTTGTTCACCTTTCATTCATTCCCACCCTCTGGATAAATGATTGCATTCAACCAAACTACCCCAAACAGCAGAGTTATATGGAACTACAAAGAGTGACTTATGAAGATGACAATGTATGTACCTTGATCACCTTATTCTTCAACATGATAATCAGATTCCACTCACTTTTGCTAATAATGTTGAGTCATGCCATATGAAAATTGTAAGTGCCGCAAATGTGTGTGTGTGTGTGTGTGTGTGTGTGTGTGTGTGTGTGTGTGTGTGTATTTCCTTTGGTGAAAAATCTTCCTAATTCTCAAGTCCCATGATATGTTTATAGTATTGTTTCACACACCTTTTTCATTGGTTTGTCCAAATAATCTGACAAGAAGCAATCTGAGGAAAGAAGCTTTATTTTGACTTACAATTCAATAGTGTATCATGATAGGGAAGACATAGTGACAAGAGCATTGGGTGGCAGGTCACATTTCTCAGGAAGCAGAAGGCATACCCATACCAGAGGGGCTATCAAACTTCAAGATCTTGCTTCTTCTAGCAAGGCTCCATCTTCTAAGAGTCTACACCCTTCCAAAGTGGTTCCATCAGCTGGGCACAAAATGTCCACAGACATGAATCTATGGGTGACATTTTACATTCAGAACTACAATAGCGATCTTGCACTGAAAAAAGTAGAAATGTGCAATTATTTATGTAGTTTGAATCCTGGAGCAGCAGGAGAAAGCATTCCACTCAAGGGAGAAGGTCAAACAACGCAGTTTCTGCTTTCTTCTCCAGTGGGGCCTCCCAGACAAGCGTATAGTGCCCACTTCCACTAGGGATGGGCTTTTCCCAGTCAGTTTGCTGGTCCATATTCCAATACTCTGGGGAAAATCTTGAAGAAACATCCAACATCCAAAGCTATACTTTGATAGTTTTGTAGTTTTTCCTCAATGCAAGAAAGACAAAACCCAAAATTAACTGCTATGGTACCTGGAAAGTTGTCTTAGTTAGGTTTCTATTGCTATGATGAAACACCATGGCCAAAAGCAACTTGGGGAAGTAAAGGGTTTATTTCATTCTACAGTTTATAATTCATTAAAGAGAGAAATCAAGGCAGGAACTCAAGACAGGAACCTAGAGGCAGGGAGTGAAGCAGAGGCCATGAAAGAATGCTGATTACTGGTTTATTCCCCATTGCTTGCTCAGCCTGCATTCTTATATACTCCAAGATCATATGCCCATGGATGATAACACCCATAGTGGACTGGGTCCTCCCACATCATTCATTAATCAAGAAAATGCTCTGCAGATCTGCCCATGGACAATTTGATGGAGGCATTGAGGTTCCTCTTCTCACATAGCTCTAGTTTGTATCAAGCTGAGGAAAAAACCAGAACAAAGGCATTTGTATTTTAGGTCTAATGCATTTTTCCTGAGCCAAGAACAAATCTTAGTAGAAATAAGCCAGACTGGACATAATTCCTCTTCAAGCCCTGGGTAGCCATAATGATTGGTATTGACTGATGGTTTATGAAGACTTTTGCCAAATTGGTTTTCTCATTAGCCTTCCTAATGTGATGGGAATTGCATTTAGATTAGGATAACAAAAAAAATGTACTCAATATGTAATGATGCCATTCAGATTCAATTACTCAACAGGAACCATAAAAAAGTCAACCCACAATGATGACATGTTGATTATTATTGGATATAATTGTTCAAGAAGAGTGAGCACTGTAGATGTAACCATCTTATTAAATAAGAAACACAGAGCCAATACAGAAATGAAAGCCAAGAGGTCAGAGCAATAGCTAAGAGCTAAAAACCTTACCCTTCACTGTTGCTGTTGTCCTACCTCTCCGAAAGAGACCTACTTCCTGTGTGTTTGTGCTTTTTATTGACTTCCTATTCTGCCTTCTCATTGGTTGTAAACCCAACCACATGACCTCCTCATCACTGCCCATCTGTACAGACCTCCAGGTCTTCTATGGTTGGTATTGAGATTAAAGGTGTGTGTCTCCATGCTGGCTCTATCCTTGAACACACAGAGATTCGCCTAGCTCTGCCTCCCAAGAGCTGGGATTAAAGGCGTGCGCCACCAACGCCCGGGTCTGCTATGGCTTGCTAATAGCTCTGACCCCCAGGCAACTTTATTTATTAACATACAAATAAAATCACATTTCAGTACAAATAAAATATCACCATAGAGCACATTCAGAAATGGACTGAACAAAGCACATGGACTCTAAGTAAGCATGGAAGATGTAAGTATCCATGGGAGAGTATGGGGATATACCAAGAGAGTACATCAGAATGACTTGTGTTAGTCAGTTTTCTATCACTATAGCTAAATCTCTAGGACAAGTAACACAGAGAGAAAATGATTCACTTCCTATTTTGGAGGTTCTACCCCATGGTTCCACTGCTTTCAGGCCTGTGACCTGAAGCATTTCATAATGGTAATACATAGTAAAACAAAACCATTCACCCCATGATCCTTAAGCAAAAGAATATGGAAGGGACCAGAGTCCCACAGTTTCCTTGAGCATCCCCCCCGCCCCCAGTGACATAAAGATCTTCAGATAAGCTCATTTCTGAATGTCTCTATCACTGCCCTGTAGTGCCACCCTAAGGACCAAGATTTTAACACAGGAGCATGGGGAGGAGGGAGTGACAGTCAATATCTAAACTACATTATACCCAGACAATCTTTTCAAGTGCACGTGTCTTTTCATGAAAATCACACTGGCTGTGCCTCAGGGTCATGGAAAGTTCTACTTGTCTCAGTCTCACCCTGAGGGATACCACCCAGCATAGTGTAAAGGTGGTTACCTGTAAGAGTCCTGGTCAATGCCACCACTTCTATTGACAACCAATGTACGGGCAGTGTCTTTAATTAAACAATTCACTATCTGAAATCAACATGATCCCTGTATGACTGTTACCATGAAAATATGCTCCTTATCAGACAGTGTACAGTATTCCAGCATCACTATGGGTTGAGATTTCATACTATGGATATCACTTATAACTGCTCATCTGTTGAATGCTAAATGTACATCACAACGATCACTAAAAGAGTGGACCTGTCAACAATCACTCACAGATCGGGAACAAGCTCACAGGGCCCTATTCCTCCCTATGAAACTATTGGCTACTAGTGTATGGGGAAGAGGGAGTCACTGGTTTCAGTTGTGTAGCCACTGTTGAGGCCATTATGCTCCAATGGACAGTTCTATACCCAGGCTCACACAGAGGGTTCTGGTTAAATGAAATGGATCACAAAACAAACAAAAAGACATGAACGTGGGAGAGCGATTTGTGGGGAGGTATGGCATGGGAGTGGGATAAGAGAGACTGAGGGTGAGAATAATCAGCATGCATTATATACATGAAAAGTATGGACTTTACAAACAATAAATTTATTTTGGAGATATATAATTTAAATAAAATTTTCTTAAATACTACAGGGTGAAATAAGATTGAAAACCTTGAGCAATATGTCACAGAGCTATTAAGTATCAGAGTCATCACTCCAATACACTGGTATATATTATTATAGATCAATATACATTATCTATTATTAAAAAAAAAGCCTGTCCATAGAAGAGATGGAACTGTAGTGATGATGATGATGATGATGATGATGATGATAGTGATAATGGTGGTGATGATGATGACGACGACGACAATGATTGGGATCTTAGGAATGACAATTTGGGGTGGTGGGCTAGATAGAGATGTTGCTTTTAATTTATCTCTTTGGTTCATTGGCTTTTTATGGGCACCAGTAGCCATCACTAATCAATGCTTTAGTTTACAGATATTTTGAAGTTGTACTTGCATCACAAACACACATTTTATAAAACTTAACTGAAGCAACTTGAAAATGGGAGTTTACAAAGCTTAAGATTCCCAGTGACTCCTTGATGCCATTACTAATTTTTCCAGTAGTATTTTTTTTTTTTTTTTTGGTTTTTCGAGACAGGGTTTCTCTGTGTAGCTTTGCGCCTTTCCTGGGACTCACTTGGTAGCCCAGGCTGGCCTCGAACTCACAGCGATCCGCCTGCCTCTGCCTCCCGAGTGCTGGGATTAAAGGCGTGCGCCACCACCGCCCGGCTCCAGTAGTATTTTTAAAGGAGTTGCTATGTGCTAGGCTGTACACCCGTACACTAGATATTACAATATAGAAATATGTGGTGCTGAAAATAACATAATGGAGAAAGTGACAAAACTCAACTCCAATAAAGTTCAGAACTCATGAACATAAGTTTTGGGAAGGTCCTCAACAAAGAATCAGATAAATACCTGACTCCCTACAATGCCGCTTAGTGAATTCTTACTATAGCTTACACACTGGAATTGAGTCTTAAATTTTCTTCTAATTCAAGAGAGGTATGATAAGGGAGACAGAGTAGAAGATTCTGATGTCTAAGTTATCATCAAAAGCCTAAGTATTACAGGACATGACAGTGAAAGGTATTGTGGGCATGGAATTAAGATTAAAAATAAACAAGAAAAGTCAGGAATAATGAAGAAAAAGCCAAGGGCTTATCTTTGGGGACAGACAGTCATAGGTTCGAAGCTATTTGGAGGTTGTGCTTATGTGTGTGTGAGTGATGCATTTTTCACTCTCACCTTTCTCATTTACACATGGAAATATCTTCTCCTTCCTATGGTTATTGAAAAGAGTGACAGAAATATGTACCCAGCACCTGGACTTATTAGTGCACAACTATAATCTTAGCTATTCAGAGGCTGAAACAGAATGATTCATAGCTCAAGGGCAAAATTGGGAGACAGTGTCTCAAAAGCAAAACAGAAAACTGAGCCTAAAGAGCCTTAATATAGTACCAAGGGGATGAGTCGTTTGATGGGCGATTATTATTGTTGGACTCTTGACATAAACTATCACTTTCCCCATGGTCAATCTTCTTGACTTACCTTGGAAGTACTGTTTCTAAAGAATTAGCTTCACCATTGAGTCATCCAAAGTCAGACAAATCATTTCTCTTGTATGGTTAGGATGTACAGCATTTGTTCTGTTTGCTTTCATTTGTTTTATTGTCCATATACAAAAAAGCTAGGTTGACACTTCTAGTAAGATCTCTCATTACTCTCCCTGTATAGTTTTGTTACCACTGTTAATCATACATCACTTTCATTAATCTCAGGATTCAAGCTCTGCTCTCCACTCCATAGTACACACTCACACATACAAACACACACATTTATGCACTCATACATTGCACATATCATACATGTTGACATACACAAATATATTCATATGTACATAATACATATATATGGACATAAATACACATACATATACTTATACATAGAGACAGACACATACATACACACTTCTAAATTATTTTCATTTTCTCATTCTTTCTAGATAATGCCATCACTAAATTATGAACCTGTGGTTTAATCATACTTTTCTTTGAAATCAATGAAGCATAAAACTCCCCTTGGACAGAAGCCAAGCATCCCCATCTCCTGTAGAGAAACCCTGCATCTTTCACTGAGGGCAGATGAGGAGACACACACACAACGAGCACTTCATTTACATTACCTCAGAAACCCGGAATTACAAAGGAACATTCACCAAATTACATAATCATTTGAAAGGTGGAAAGTCAGAAATAACCAAGATTCACAGGCTGAGTAATTACTGCTTCTCACATAGATGGCCACAGGAAGCTCTGAGGACTGGATATTATATTTTTCTCATAATGTTCAAAGCTCAGGGCACGGTCTCAAGACATACAGCTTTCATAAAGTACAAACATGCTACAAACATGCATGCATATGTATGTCACAGAGACAGAAACAGAGACAAAGACAGGCTGTGACAGGAAGGATGCACAGCTCCCTACAGCGACTGGATATAGTCAAGAAACTTACGAGTTACACACCCAACATTTCTAGTCTGTCTTCAGTCTGCCTCACAAATCCAGTGCACAGGCTCTGTTTCTCATTTAATTCTGCTCTGCACATAACACAAGACTGAGGCGTGCCCATGGTTCTGCTGTTAGAGAATGGTTAATACCTTAAAAGGGTGGGCATACTTGCCAAGCACCCATAGGGCAGACAGGGAGCTGGAAAGATAACAATCAGTTTCATAGAGAACACCACACATACACAAACATCACAGAGTGATATTTAAACCCCCAACTCACAAGGGACCCCACATTTTCACATTAGCTGGCTTTGTCTGTTTCTCCCTCATAGGCAAACATATGTTCTCTGTGGAACCAACCCAGCCCATCTGAACTGGTTGCTATTTCTGTAAGAAGTGGGAGGGGGGGAGGGAAAATTTCATATTTCTGTTCTCATGTGAAGCTATAAATATTCACCCACAGAAAGCCATGGGGTCTCATTTGCATGAATGATACTTTAAGGCCAATTGTAGTTCTTGGAACCGAAGCATCTCTCAGCACATCACCCAGGTGCTTAGGTGGGCTCTAGGTTCATCCAGATCTAGACTATAACATTGCATGACCTCAAGGAATGCATAATTTACTTCCAATTTCCCAATTCACCTATCTCATTCCCTGCCTGTTACCTTCTACCTAACTAATCACCTGCATCCACCAATATGTCCATTCAATCAGGTCATATGGTACATTTATTTGCAAGTCTTTCACTATTTTGTCCCATTTTTACAGGCTGTTTTCTTTCCTTATGCAGTTTAAAATTCCATGGCCATTTACCATTATTCCTTTGCATAGATCTTTAATTTTCCTACCCCTCTTTGAAAGGCTTGCTTAGCTAAATGATGCACTTAGTTATATCCACCTCTTGGCCTACTTGGACAACACACGCAGCCTTATTGACTGATCTTAACCTCTGAGTACCATCTTCAGGCAGGCCTTTAATATTGTCCTGTGGCCACCTGTACATCCCTATCCCATTTGCCATCTCTCCTCCCTATCCTATCAGCTCATCTTTCTGCTCTCTTCAAACCTCCTTAGATCTACCCCACCCCTGCCAGGATGGCTAATCTTGGTTGTAAACTTGACCTACCCAGGAAAAGGAACTGTAGCTGGAAATTTCTCCAGGCCTGCCTTGCCCAGCATTCCAGACGAATCTCTCCCACCTGCGATCCCACAACCACTTATAAAATAATTACTCAGAGCCTTATATTAATTACAAACTGGATGGCCTATGGCTTCAGCCTCTTGCTAGCTATCTCTTTCATCTTAAATTAACCCATCCTATTAGTCTATATGTTGCCACGTGGCTGTGGTGTTACTAGTCTGCTGGCATCTTGTTGCTCCTTTGGTGGCAGGCTGGCGTCTCCCCCACTCTACCTTTCTTTGTCTCCTCTTCAGTTTGAATGTACCACCTAACCTTATCCTGCCCTGCCATAGACCAATGTAGCTTTGTTTATTATCCAATGGGAGCCACACATATTCACAGCATACAGAAAGACATCCCCCTCAAGGGACCCTCATTCGTGGAATTACCTTCATCTGACTAGCCTGTGGGCATGTCCATGGGGGAACTTTCCTGATTGTGAATTGATGGAGAACCAAGCCCACTGTGGGCAGTACCATCCCTACATTGGAATGACCAGGCTGTATCAAAAGGGTAGCTGAGCAAGCCAGTCAACAGCTTTTCTTCACAGCCTCTACTTCAGTTCCTGCCTTGGCTTCCCTTGATGGACTGTAACCTGACAGTGAAAGAAACCCTTTCCTCTTCAAGCTGTTTTTGGTGAGTTCTTTAACATATTGACAAAGAAGCAAACTGGAACACTCACCATTCTCCCTCCCAGTTAATGGGCTTACTTACTGCTCTCCTAAGTAAAATGGAAACAAGAGGAGGGAATTCCCATCAACTCCTATCTCCACCTCTACCTTTCTGCAAATACGTATCTCATTTCTATGCATGGCAATGAACTCATTCTGCCCTGAGCCCTCCCCTTCTGGCCTCCATCCATTCCTGTCCTCACAGGCTCTTATCCTAAGTTGTATTAAAAATCCCATCTCTTGAATACTCTTAACTTTTCTGTACTTCTCCCCCTCTTTTTAGAGAAAATCTCTTTAAGGGGGCATTTTATAAAGCAATCACAAACTCTAATTTCTTCCTAATTTTTCTTGAACAAACTTTGATCATGTATTTGCTCCAATTAAAGCAATCTCATCAAGTCTACAAGTATCACTAGGCAGCTACATGCAAGTGCTGGGTGATACTTATGATTTCAATGGGCATTTGTGTGTGTGTGTGTGTGTGTGTGTGTGTGTGTGTGTGTGTGTGTGAATTGCTCTAAACCTCTTTTTCTTCACATGTAAAACAAGAGATTGCCTACTTCTGAAGTTGACTGCAAAGACTGATACTACAGGAAAAAGATTTAGCAGAAGTGCCAATATCCAAATAGTGCTAAGCAGTTTAAACACATTAAAAGGAAATACCTACAAAAACTCTGAAGCTGCCTTAGTGTTGACTCTTCAAGGAAAGGTGTTGATTGCACTACATAACCATAGTTTGCTATTATGAAAATATTTCTTTCCACTTCTTTGAAGAAAAGGGCTGCATGTTCCATTACTGGATATTAAACACTGACACAATGGGAGATGGGAATTTTTACTTTTCGCTAATTAGACTATAAAGGAACAAGATGAGCGGCTAGACAACTTTATAGAAGAGATATTAGCACATGGAGTTCATTCTTTAAGCATAACATGTGTGCAGTCATTGGAAAATAATTACTATTTCATTGAAAGACAGGCCAGAATAAAACAGGTGCAAAAAATAGGTAAGAAGTGAGTGCTAGGACTGTCTGGTCAGAGGTATTTAAAAGATTGACTTACTAAGCCAATCTCATAGACAAGTAGCTTTGCCACAGGGAAGACTCTAAAAGATTCAGAAATGATTCCTGCCATACTCTGGATTATACATTCCTAAAACCTCAGGTACAATTTAGCAGTGTGCATCAGAAAGGTTTGAAAAATATCCTTGAATGCAGTTGTTCCTTTTACAGGAATTTAACTGAAAGAAGTGAACATGGGTGCCCACAGATTTAGTTGCAATGAAATTTGCTACAATGTGGTTCACCATATATAAAAAAAAATAAAAATAAAAAGAGAAAAATCTAAATGTCTACCACTGAGGGATTAAACACTTGATTTTGTATAATGGCATTTAACATATCCAGTCATTAAAATATGCTATATATTTCTGAATATTGAAATGTGTCCAAATGCAAAAGAAAAGCCCTCGGGTTACAATACAATATGTAGAGAGTGACATATTTTTATATATTTATAAGAAAAAAACTTGGTAGTGATTTTCACTTCTTTGTATTTATATTTTATAATTCTATAATTATGAATTATTTATCTAACAAAAGCAAAATATACAAAGGAAAGGTTTTTGTTGTTGTTTTTACTATAGGTGATATCAGCCTTCTTATCTTTTTCTTGGTCCCAAATAAACATGAAAAGGGAAAACTGAGAAGGGAGTTATACATCTCTAACCATCATGGAAGTGCAAATCAAAATACACTGAGAAGATAGGACTTCACTCTTGTTAGCCTGAGGGAAGTCAGGAGGAGATGTCTACTATATGTTGCTGGTGAAAATGGACAAGTGAAGCCACCAAGCAGGTCAAACTAGAACAACCATATAATTCAGCTTCACCACCCCTATGTATGTTCCAAACAGAATCTAAGCCAAGCACACTGCAGAGACACCTGTTGATCCAGGTTTATTGTGACATTATTCATTCCACATTCATTCCAGTGTTATTATGCAGTCAGCCCCGGTGTCCATCAATAAGTGAATGGATCAAGAAAATGTTCTGTCCATGTGCAATTGAGTTTTATGCAACTGTAAAATTACATTGTTTGCATAAAATGGTTGGAATTAAGGCAGTGAAGTAAGTCAGGCCAGAAAGACAAATATTACATGCTTTCACTAAAATATGAAACCAAGTTATATGTATACACACACACACACACACACACAACATGACAACAGAAGGAAGAATGTTTAGGAAGAGGAAAGGGAGGAGGCAGAGGGGATAGAGAGAAATAGGGAAGGAATGTGGTCAATGTACATGATATGCTTGAACAAAAGACATCATTATGAAACCCACAACTTTGTAAAACTAGCACACACTAATAACATTTTTCAATGGAGTTACAAACAAGCTAATGAGCCAACAGCATGCAGAAAATGATTAGGAACCTTTGGAATACAAATGTGAAGCATTTTTAGGCACTGTACAAGTGATCAGCCACAATGGGATTCTCATGATCATAGCCCTCATATAGTTTTGCATTTATTAAAGAAAACAGAAATTAAGGCAACTATTGTGTAAGTATGAGGATTGTTACAGGAATCTTTGGAGATAACAAAAGCATATAAAAGGATTTAGTGTCAGGACGAGGAATATAAAAACTTTTCTGGGTAAATGATTTATAAGCCAAAACATTAAGAGTGAGCAAAGTTGGCCACATATACTGGAAGGGAGAGAATGCAGGGCAGAGGGGTCAGTATGAGTGAAGGTCAAGTCAACATTAAGACAAGGCACATTTAAAACAGTGAAAGAAAACACAAGCATTGAAATCATGAGGGCAAGTGCAAGGGAAGGGCCGGCCTCCTGGTAGACAGACCTCAGTTAAGAGTCTCAGAATCTGCAAAGGAGATAGATCTCCAGAAGGCTCCACTGGGAGTCATGGTGGAGGATCACTACCAGAACTCAAAGAAATAACTAAAGCAATCAAAATTAGATAATCTCTGGTGTTGCAGGGCTCTTGAGAATGTGGATCTGGAAAAATATTCTTTTAAAATAGCACAAAACTACAGCCAATGAATACCAGTATGGTCCAGGCACTTGTTGTGTTCTTCATGTGTATTTCCTACTGAACACTATCTTCTGTTTCCTAAAGTATGGGTACTTATTGTCATAACTTTATAGATAAAGAAGTTGAGGCTTGGAGGGAAATCTTCATTTCCCAAGATTGAAAAATAAGTGAACAACACAGTGTGGATTTTACCCCAAGGGAATCTGTACTGACCCTTGAATGAAGTGAGAGGAGAAAGGAAGAGGAAGTAGTAAT